AGCCTGGCACTTGGCACATGAAAATTTGAGCCTAGGACAGAGAAGACAGGAGCAGGAGGGAACCTTGTTGCCTTCCCACCCTGCGGTCTCCAAGGCATGCACAGGGAAGGAGAGATGGACAGGACTAACTTTCTGTGGCCCTGAAGCAGATTTCTGGTTTTTTGTTGTTGTTGTTGTTGTTGTTGTTTTTTGTTTGTTTGTTTGTTTGTTTTTTTAAGAAAATGATTCCCCAAGCCTCCCCAGGCTGCTGCTGTGGGAAATGGCCCACAATCCCAAGCTTTTTTTGCCAGCCACCTTTCTAAGCAGAACTCAGATGTGAATTCCAGGTTCCTTTACTCACAAAGTACAAGAAAAAGGAAATGCTGCTGTTCTAACGAGGGAAAGGGGGGAAAAAGCCCAGTCTATAGCCTCAACACCACCTTGTGAGCCTGGAGGGGGTGGGGCAGCTGCTCCCTGACATCACCAAGCCGCGTCAAGGGAAATAACTTCCGCCGTTCAAAGCCTTATTTGCATTTCTGGAGGTCCAGAGAGGCATTTAAAATCAGCTTGGGTGTTGACATTGCAGTTATTAAAACTAAACAAAAGATCCCTTCCCAAGTCTGGCTGGTTCTCCTTAAATTCGGTCCCCGCTACCTGATTTAAGGCCCTGAGCAGATGTTTCACAGCAGGACCACATCAGCTCCAGATGCCGCTTTGTTCAAGGCGCGTGCATACACTGCTCTGTCAGTCACACGCACTCACAGGGCCTGGGGCTTCGAGCATCCGTATCTCCCTCCGGCATTTGGCATGCCCGCAAGGACCATTTGTAACCCCTGCCTGCAGATCTGACAGAAAGATGAGCAGCCAGAGTGAATAGCCAATCAAATCCCACCCTAGCGTCTTCCTGTTGTCTCCTAGGTAACCGACACAGGGACACATCAGCTAGCTGGGTATCACAGGACACAGGCGCGTGCACAGGCACACGCGCACGCCCTCCTATGAGCCTGTAATTTCCGAAACACGCCCGTCAGCACCCCGGACAGCTCCCCGAGCGGGCATTCTAAGCCATTGATTCCTGAGAGTGGCAGCAGCCTCCGTTCCCACTGCTTTCCCACCTATGTCCTTTCCTGTATCGTTCCTCTATTGGGAGGCCTCTCTCCCTGCTGTCTCTACACCACTTACGACCCTCTTCATCTCTGGAGTCAGTCAAACTCTAGGGTTAAGTCCTCCCAAGACTCCCATCCCAGTCCTCAAAGTCAAGGCTGAATCTTGCCTCTCCAGATCTGGGCTCCTCCAGCCTTACTGCACATCACTGTCCCTTGAGCACTCTCCCTCTTGTTTCCTTCCCTGCCTCTAGGTCACATTGTCTGACCTCCAGTGACCCCAGCACATTATCCTTTTCTCTGTACCCGCTGCTGCTCCCTGGCCTGACTAAGCTCCCCACCCAACTCCCCACTCCAGGCCTGGCTGAGTCTTCTTATTCTTCAGGCTCAGCTGAACTCACCTTCCTTTAACCACTCTAGACCTTGCCTGAAGAAATCCCCTCCCCTGGGACTCTCTACTACATCTCCCCCAATGCCTATGCCAGATCCTGTCAGGAAGGACACTGAAACTGTCCCCTCCACACTGACTTGGACACTTCTTCTTTGTCTGTCCCTTGAGTAAGCTGTCCCAACAGGTCTTTGTTCACAACAAAATCCTCCACAAATAAAACAGGGCTCAAGACATACTGGTTGGGTAAATAAAGTCACCCTGTCACTGCCACTGCCGCTGCCACTGATGAACAGCCAACCATCTGAACTGAGTTCCACAGTGCCACCCCTCATCTCTCACGGCATGTCCTCCAAGCACCAGGCATTTAAATGTCTGTTGTCTAACAGAGTGGAGCAACTTGAAGCTAAAGACTAGCTTTTATTTTTCTAACTGTACAGTTACTAGCTCAGGTGCTTGTGGGAGTCTCTCATGAAGCACTCATTGAAGTAAGTGGAAGAGAGTGTGCCACTGTCTAAAGGACCATGCAGGTCAAGGTGGAGGTTCGCTGGAGCACATGTCTCACACTCACCCTCACTAAAAGGCATCTTGAAACAAGAATTGCAGGCCTCCCAATCACATGGCCACATGTTTCTTCAAGAAGCCCAGTTACTACTTTAGGTCCTAAAAATGTTGCAGAGAGATCCACTTTCAGTCAAGCTTGTAGTACAAGCCCAGGTGATGGGTCAAGTAACCACAAAGCCCTGTGGATTCCCCCAAATTCTAGCCACGGAGAGCCCTGAACAGACTGTTCTTAACATGAAATCCACACTGGGTCCTGAGCATTCCACTGACTGACATGCCAGCTATCCTTCTCAAATCTAAAGTCATGCCAGTTATAACAATCAGCCAGGAAGACCTCCAGCTGTGTTCATGTTTCTGAACTAGGGCATGACAACATGGGCTCTCCATGATACCTGCAGAGGGTGGAGGAAAAAACTGAAGCCCCAAAAGATTAAGTTGTGGAGCTGGGGATGTAGCCTAGGGTGGAGAGATTATCTAGCATGCACAAGGTCCTGGGTGCAATCCTCAGCACTGAGAAAAGATGAGGGAGAAAGTACCCTGCCCAAGGTCACACAGAGGCTATCATAGCGTCAGCTTACAACTTGACCCCAACCTAGCTTCACCTGAGAAGAAGAACATCAGTTGAGGAATTTCCTCCATTATACTGGCCTATGGATAAGTCCATGGGGCAATGTATTGACTGCTAATTGATGTAGGAGGGCCCAGCCCACTATGGGCAGTGTCATCCCTGCCTGGGCAGGTGGGACTAAGTTGCATTTTAAAAAGCGAACTAAGCATGAGCTAGGGAAGCAAGTCAATAAGCAGCATTCCTCCATGGTCTCTGCTTCAGCTACTGCCTCCACATTCCCGCCTTAGTTCCTGCCCTGGCTTCCCTCAATAATGGGCTATGAGCTGTAAGCTGCATAAACTCCTTCCTCCCCCAAGTTGCTTTTGGTCATAGTGTTTATCAAAGCAACAGAAAAGCAAACTAGGACAGAGACCTTAAGACAGGTCCCTGGTGTGGTCCCTAAGCCCATTCCTTCTCTAACGCCTTACAAAACCCAACACAGCACCCAGAGGAGCTGGTCTTGCTCAGAATGTCTCTTTCTGTGGATGAAGTTCCTCTCTTATAGATGGCAGGAGCCCTGTCTCTGCATCTCCATCTCCTGTCCTCAGCTTAGCCGACCTCCCACCACCAGTCTCTTGTGGAACAGGACCCATATCCCAAAGCCTCTCATTGGAGGCAAACTCTGGGGAACCAATTTTCCTGTGGCCCTGAGAAAGCCAGAGATTTTTATCTCTAAAATAGTCATTTCCTGCCTCATGGCAGCTGCACTAGCCACCCTCCACCACAGCACCAAACTCAAGGATCAATCCCAACTAAGACCTTTCAGGAAATGCTCAAAGGCTGAGAGCCACCAGCCACCAAGGAAATGGTCTTCATCCAACAAATAGCACCCATGGTGGACAAAACCTTCATAGGTATCACCAGCAGCTGTGCCTCCCCTGTGTCACATGCCTCATATGCACCCCTTATGTGTCTCATACATGCCACCCACATGCCTCCACACACAACCTGTGCACTGTCCATCACTCAATGCCATATGCACACCAATCACATGACTCACTCATGCTGCACACATGTACATGCACACAGAGCAGAAGGGCTGAGCAAGAGAGCAGAGCCCTCCCCATCAGGATGTTATGGCACCCCTTTCCAAGCTGACTCAGAGCCGTGTGTCCAGCCATGGCCAAGGCCTCAGAATGAGGGCTCAAATCTTCCCATTTCCTAAAGGCTTGTATTCTGTCTGAAGGTGGGTGAGTGAGAATTCCTTCTTGGCTCACTGGCTCCTTTGGGGGTACCTCCAGGGAGAGAGGCACTTCATAACCCTAGTCGACAGCCCTGCCTCTTGAACCTCCTCTTTCAACCTCAAGGAAAAAACCTGCCCTTCTGTGTCCCTAAGGTGCTCCATCTCTTCAGCCTGGATTTCCCCTCAGCTCCTCAGCTCTAGGCCTGCTTGGGTCACAGGCACCAGCTAAGGTTTGATGTGGAGGTCTAAGCAGTACCCTGGACAGGACCAGTTCTCCCAGGCCCACTCCACCTCCGCAAGCTGGCCTGGGTTGGAAATGGATCCTTTCCCCATGAGACTGTGCAAGACTCAACTTGGGGATGCAGACTGGAAGGAAAGGGGGCTGGATGCTACCAGAAGCTCTGGGGTCACACAGATTCGGGTTCACATCCCAACTACCCCAATTTCGAGTTGTGTGACCTTGGGAAGCAGTTTTGCCTCTCTGAGGCCAGACTCACCTGTAAAGTGGAAAGAATTATAGCGCATCCGAGGGGTGGTTGTGAAGGTTAAAGGCTGAGGCAGGTGTGGGGTAGTGCCATGTCACCCAATGTATCCTCTCCCCAAATGTTAACAACGGGGATGGGGATGGATGCTGTCTTTTGCTTCGCCTGGTCCTGGACTCTCAAGGCCCTGGCAATTCCTAATTAGCAGCAAACCCAAACTTTGCTCAGCCGTGGCAGCCCCGCCTGGGTCCTCCCACCAGGTCCTCCTCCTTCTCTTCCTCCTCTTCATTCACAACCCCCCACCCCCCGCCCACAGCAGTGCAGACAACAGGTAAGGGGATGAGCAGCCCCGAGGGGCCGCGCCGCAGTGCTGCGGCAGGGGAGGCCCTGCAGGGACCCCATCTACACACAAGCCCCTTTGCAAGTTCAGTGGCTGCGGACTCCGGGGCCACGCAGTGCCGCAGGCCAGGAGCGCACAGGAAAGTTGGGCACCGGGCTCTGCGGGCTCGGGGTCCCCGCGCTCCCCGGCCCTGCGAGCTGCACGGAGGAGGAGGCACTTGGCCACCGATGGCCCGGCTCGGCCGCTGCCGTACGCCCCGCGGGTCCTCTCCGGCTCCCGGGGCCCCAGCGCAGCGCGCGCCCTGCAATGACCCTCCGGCCCGGGAATGTCCGGCCCTTAGCGCCCGCGTCCTACCTTCGTCCGGCAGCCGCTGCAGGCAGAG